CCCCGTGCATGCGGCCCGCCCTGCACCCCTGCGCAGCCATTGGATCCGGGGCGCGCTTCGCGATCGCTGCGGCGCGCGCTCTGGCGGACCAGCCGCAGCTGAGCGCGCTGGAGGTGGCGCACAGGGCGATGCGCATCGCCGCGGAGAAATGCATCTACGTGAGCCACCTCCGCCTACCCCACCAGTGGGCTGGGTGGCAGCCGAGGAGGGGAGGGGAGGGGCGCTGCTGGCTTGGGAGTGTGGCCGGGTCACGGCTGGCGTTCCCTGCTCGTGCGCCTGCTGTGGGGCAGACGGGGCTGCAGGAGAGGAGCGCAATTGGCTGATCCGATGCCGGTTCCTTTCCTGCAGTTTGCTGAGCTGTCACCCGTGCAGGGGGTTGACCTGATTGCTTTCACACTCGTCCACACATGCACTCATGATGACACACGTCTGCCCTTGCACAAAGACACGCGATGCACACTATGATAAACACATGATTATGTTGCATGTATAAATGGACTCGCTGGTGCACGCGCGCAAAAGCTCTCCCTCTCCCTCCCCCCCCTCCTCACTCTCTCTCCCCTGTCCCTGTCCCTCCCTTTTTCATTTCGCTCTGTTTGTGTGTGTGTGTGTGTGTGTGTGTGTGTGTGTGGTGTTTGTGTGTATGTCTGTGTCTGTCAAACCTGCTTTGATTAGTGCCGTTCATCGGTGCGCAACCCCTCTCCATCCGCACACATCCCTTCCAGACCAATGACTCATTCCTCTGGGAGGCCATTGGCGCAGACGGCAGCGCCACCAGCGGCTCAAAGGGAGCCTGGGGGGCGGCAGGCAGCAGCGGACCGGCCCCAGAGGCCGTCGGCAGCAGCGGCGGCGGTGGCAGCGGCGGCGGCGGTAGCGGCGGTTCTGGCAGTGAGAGTGACGGGAACAAAGGGCCCGACGGCGACGGCAGCCCTTCAGGCGGGGAGGAGACGCCGCAGCGGCCGGTGGCGGGCAGCGGGAGTGGTGTCGGGAGACGGCCACCGCAGTGATGGGAGCAACATGTTGCAAGCATGTACACTTGTTGTATGATGATTGCATCTGTAAACCTGCTCCGTTGCGCGTTTGACTCTGTTTGTGTTCACCCGTCCTACAGCACGCTCCCAACCCCTAGCAAAGCAGTTATTGATGCCAGTCACCAGCACAGTTACCGGAATGCCAGATCAGCACAGTCGCCCCCATCCAACCGCTCCAGCGCTACGCCAGCCCAGCGGCTGCCCAGGTTGTCCTTAGCACGCTCGAGCGCTGCCCGCACAGCCGCCGCGTCCCTGCCGCAGCCGCCACCCTCAAGGCCGAGCGCGCCGGCAAACACACCCAGCGGAAGCACCCGGTACGCCGCCGCCGCCGCACGCGCCGCGCGTCCCCGCGCCGCCGGCGCTCCCGCCTGCAGCACGCGCGCAACCAGCGGCGGCGCGGCGCGCGCGGCGGCCCACAGGCGCACCCAGTTGCCGCGCATGAGCGCCGACGCCGCGCGCAGCGCGAGCTGCATGTCGCGCGATCCCACCACCTCAGGCGGCGTGGCGCGCAGCCGCTTTGCAACCTCCGCCGCCACGGGGCGCGCGGGCACACACAAGAACCAGAGCAGCAGCGCAGCATGCACCTCGGCCCGGCGCGCCAGCGGGCCCGCCGGGGCGTGCTGCGTGGGTGCCGCGGCAGCTGCCTCTGAGGGGCCCCTGCCATCCCAGGAGGCACCCCTCTGTAAACTGAAGCCCGCAGCTGCTGCCTGGTCCGGCGCCGAGCGGCCGCCGCTGCAGCTGGTGCCGGCATCATCCCAGGGATCTGGCCGCCCTTCGGCCTGCTGCTGCTGCTGCTGCTGCTGTTGCCGCTGCTGCTGTTGCCGCTGCTGCCGCTGCTGCTGCTGCTGCTGCCGCTGCTGCTGCCGCTGCTGCTGCTGATGATGCTGCTGCCCCTGCTGTAGCAGCTGCCGTCCCGCCCCCCGGGCCTCCTGCGCCTCGACCGCCGGGTAGAGCGTGTTGACCAGCGCCTGCAGGCACTTGAGCAGCTCCGCCGTGTTGCCGGCCAGGGCGCACGCGTCCGCCGACAGCTCGTACACCTCCGCCGCCCACGCGTCGCGGCAGCCCAGTGACGTCAGCGCTTCCCGCAGCTTCCGGAAGCGCCGGACCAAAGGGTCGAGATGCGGGCCTGAGAGGGCCACGATTTGAGCACGGTGTCTGTTGGTGATGGATCAATTGCCAAGAGTGATCAGGTGCCAATGGGAAGCGAAACAGTTGCGATGCTGCAAAAGCTTGCCGGGCCACTCTGCTCAAGCCCAATGGCGAGTGCAGCCGGCTGGAGGTTGCTGGTGCATCAGCGTGGGGTGCCGCACTGCACAGTGGTAGCAACAACCCGCCGCCCCGGTGCACGCGTTGGACATGGGCTGGCCACCATGCGCGCACGTGTCGCGAGGCCGGCAGCGTCGCTGATGTGCAGCTGGTGCTCTGCCAGCGCAGCCAGGGCCTCTGCCCGCAGCACTGTCCACTGGCGGACGCAAGTGTCTAGGTCCCCCAGGTTGTGCGGCTGCATCCTGTAGCTGCGGCGAGTCTCCTCCCTGCTGACCTGTCCACTGCAGGCGCGCTAGTTTGTGCGGCGCAGCGGCTCGCCTTTGCCTCGCTGCCGGGTCGCTGATGACATATAGTTCAATGAATCCTCCGAAAATTGTCAAAGAAACTCGCTTTGTGGTGATGAAGTGTGATCTGAGATCACAGGTTCAGGTCGATCAATTGCAAATGTGTGATTAATATAATCTTCCAGGTCTCAGCGAGAGAATTGCTACCTCATGCTTCTGATGAGCGTGCGCCTGTGTACCAGTAATTGCATTACAGTAAGCTTAGTCAATCAATGATGCGCCAGCCTCGCACACCTGATGCGGCTTATTCAAGGCGCGCTGGGCTTGCCGCAATTGAACTTAGACAGCTGCAGTGCTGAAATCAGCTTGCCTCCTAGTGCACGCTGACTGGTACGCACGACCTCGATTCCGCTCACCGCCGTGGGACCTGACAAGCGCTGCATGCACTCGCAAAGCACATCAGGCTACCATCCAATCCACCCTGGCCCAAGCCGCACCTCCTACACGCCATATTGGCGGGCAGCCTGCGATGCAGCTCGCTTTGCTGAGCCGGGCCAGATGCCAGTGCTTGCACGGGGAGTAGCCACGTCAGTGCCTGCAACGTCTCCATACCAACAGCCACCTCGCGCAACAACCGCAACGCCAAGGTTCACCCGATGATCCCCCACGAATGTCAGCCCTTCGTAACTCCCAGACTGTGTATTGACCCAGTTACAGGGTGTTGGGAGCAGTTGTGGGTGACTCCACAGGGTGCAAAACCTTGGCCAACAGGGCACGGCCGGAGAGGCCGTGCCAGGCCTCCAGTTTCAGCTGCCCAACCCCTAGCGTGTGACAATGGTCAGTGTGCTGACGAGGCCGAGTGCTGACAGCACTGGGCATCGCTGCAAGGCTTGTGGTGTGAGGCGGTCCCATGTGCCGCAGCTCTTGTCTTGAGACACAGTGCCACGTGCCACAGGTCGTGTTGAAAGAGACGGCTAGTGCGAGACAGCTGCCGCAGCAAGCGACAATGCAATCCGCCCACACAAGGGAAGTTGCGCAACCGGCACGGCACTTTTGTGATACTGAATGCAGGCATCACTGGCCTTGTAAGAAGGGCCATGGCGGCTGTGTGAAAGCGTCCAAACGGAACCGCCGCAAACCGATTCGCAGCACATGAATGGGACCCTTGTTAGTCAACCTAGGAAGTTGGAACAGCGTGACTCAGCACAAGCAGCGCCTTGCAGAGCAGCCTGGAGGTGGTTGCAACTGGGTGGCCAGATAAGGGGCACATGTGGTGGTGGGCAGGCAAGGAGCGCCGCCCCATGCTGTTGCGCTGATCAGGAACAAGCCAGCGCACGCCGGCACCCGCTTACGCCTCCCTCGGCGTCACCAGCAGCGGCATGCCGTTGCGCGCATGCAGTGTGATGTGGTAGCACACCATCGCCTCCAGGACCGCCACGCCCTCGCCCTCCACGCCTGGCGGCAGCGCGAAGGAGAAGCGCCCCACCAGCGTGGCCAGCACAGCCTGCAGCTCCAGCATCGCCAGGGCGCGGCCAACGCAGTCACGCGGACCCACGGCTGCCAGACGGGATGGGAGTAGGGGGAAGGAACAGTGGCGAGGCAAGAGGAGAAATTGGTTTAGGGCACGCGCAAACACAGCGGTAGGGGTGTTCACGAGGACGTTCCCTGCCAAACAACCATGCTGCGCCAAACGCAACAAAACATCCTCAACGGCTCCTTCGGCAACCAACGCCGGCAACTCACAGAAGGGCAGGGGGTCGGGCAGCTCGGCTTTGGGCTTGTCGCCGTCCGCTGCCGCGCCGTCGTCGCCGCCGCCGCTGATCCAGCGCTCGGGCTTGAACTCGTCAACGTCCTGCCCGTAGTTGCGGGTGGCGCGGCCCAGGGAGAACAGCGGCTGCGACACCATGGTGCCCTGCGCAAGGTGTGAGTGTGTGTGTGTGTGTGTGTGTGTGTGCGTGCGTGCGCGCGCGCGTGTGCATGCGTGCGTGCATGCGAGTGCGCATGTGTGCGTGCACAAGTGTGTGTGTGTGTGTGTGTGTGTGTGTGTGTGTGTGTGTGTGTGTGTGTGTGTGTGTGTGTGTGTGCGTGCGTGCGCATGCATGGGTATGCAACGTGCCTGAATGTGTGTGTGCATGTGTCTCCTTCTGCGTGCATGGATGCACGCAGTTGCAGTGTGTTGCAGAGAGCAGCTGCTGGTAACAAAGGGTTACAGTGCGCAGGTGAGTGCGGCGCAAACGTAGGGGGTTGTGGACCGTGCGCAATCTCAACCCGCCGCAGCCCCACCTTGGGGACCGTGTAGCCCAGGATCTCGGTGTCACAGGGCAGCGCACGCAGGCTGCCACCAGCCGCCTGCGGACAAGAAGGGGCGCGGCGCAAAAAAAGCAGCGAGTGTCAAATCGCTTGCGCCCCAGATGCGCCCATGAGTGGGAGGCACAAGCATTCGTTCTATCCGCGGCAGCAGTCGGTGGCGCGAGCAGCCGCAAGCAGCGTAGCCGGCCGAGCGCGCCCACCGGTGCAAACAGGCGCAGTGACTCCTTGATGGTGGCGTTGAGCAGCGGCAGACGGCTGAGGTCCCCCCACTCAAAGGGGCGCGGCTCAGGGTGCACGTCGCTGGGCGCGAGGCCGACGCGCGCCAGCTCAGCCGCGAGGGCGTCCTGCTGCTGCGGGTGGGCGGCCAGCAGCCCCAGGGTCCAGGTGATGGCGTGGGAGGTGGTCTCAAAGCCGGCGATGTACAGGTTTGAGAGCTCCCCCTTGAGCTTGTCCAGGGTCAGGGGTTTGCCCGTGGTGGGGTCGACGACGCGCAGCAGGTGGCCTGACAGGCAGGTGGGAGGGTGGAGAGGGGGAGTGGGTTCGTTGTTGAGCGTGAGCAACAGCCAGCCGGCAGGATGCCACGTTTGCGACATCAACCACGACACGCTACGTATGTCAAATGCAAGCGTGCAGGCGGAGCTTGCATGCAGAAGCTCCGCACAAAATGGGCTCACCTACGCCCGCTCACGAGCGCACGCGAGCACGCATGCGCAACTGTTGGCCGTGCCGCCCACCTGCCAGTGTGTACTCTGGGGGCGTCGTCTTCAGCACGTCGCGCGCAATGCTGTCCATTACAGAGTCCCACGCGGCAAACGCCGCCTCGTGCGCGCGCCCCTTGGCGGTCAGCCGCCGCAGCGAGTAGAAGGGGTCGTTCATTTTCGCGTGGACGGCCAGCAGCAGCTGCCGCACGAGCGCAATGTAGTCGGTGGCGTCCCCAGCGCCGCCCTCCTGGGCGCCGCTGCGCTGCGGTGTCATGGCGCCCAGGTCCTTGCTGCACAGCAGGTAGGGCATTTGGAAAGGGGCAAAAACGAGGGGGCTGATGAGACAGCGGGCCGATCCTGGGCTGGGAAGGAGGGCGGAAGGGTGCGCGGGCGGCAAGGTGCTGGCGTGCTGCTTGCGAGGCGACTGCATCACCTCCTGCGGCCTGCAAAGCGGCTGTGGTTTTGGCGAGCGCTCGCGGCCCCTCACCTCAGCAGCACGTCGCCTATGGTGTCGCTCGTGAGGCGCGCCGCCAGATCGCTCACGTCAACGGGGCCGCGCGGGCCCTCCGCTGCCAGCTCAGCCACCGCCAGCTGGCACAGGCGCTGCAGCCAGGGGAACGTCTGGGGTCCAATACGAAGCAGAGAAAGCGCGCGTGCCCAAGGGGAGGAGTGCTCTGAGGCAAAAGAACACGCAAACCGCACAAGGGATGTGAGTGGCTGGATCGGAGGGCGCGGCAGCGGAGATCTGCTACACTGCGGAGCGGGTGCTCTCCCTCCGCAGGTGACCGTACCCCAGAGCGGATACACGAGTCTTTCGGCGTCATCCCAACACTGGCCCCTCACCCTCTTTAGGGAGGACACGCTGAAGCAGGGCGCGATGGCGGCACGCACCGCCTGCGCGGAACGACGAGTTGCAAAGGAGGAGGTGGGGCCGCACTCGGCCTTGGCGTCCTGTTGGTCAAACAGTTGACAAGACAGCGGGTCTGCTCTGCAGGCAGTGCCGCCGCTTCCTGCCCGCGCACAGCGAGGCCCGTACCTTTTGGTAGGGCGAGCCAGCGTCGCTGAACAGGCTCGGGTTGCGGGCGCTAGGCAGGTCAAAGGCGCCTGCGGCAGCAGAAGGGGCGGCGGCCGGAGGCCGTGATGCGCATGTTTGACCACGCCGTGAGCGCAATTCGCTGTGGGTGTGAGCGGCCACTTGAGGCGGGTGATGACGGCGCGGCCCCCATGCAGCTGGGTTCTAGGGCAGGAAGCCACAGGCAAGGCGCAGGACGCCACAGGCACGGCGGAGGCTTTCGCCGCAAGAGCGTAGAACCAGCGCTGAGGGCACCCACGGTACAGGTTGGGCTTGTAGATTCCCGGGAGCCTGGGCATGGGGGATGGAGCAGGGTGCAGGCAGGGTGTCAGCGCGACACGTCGTGCCGTTTCGCGAAAGCGGCGCCGGCATACCGCAGAGGTGGGCAGCTGAGGCAGGAACACCTGCCGGGGTCGAGCGCGTGCAACGCCGCCACTGCAGTGGCGGCTGGCGCACGGGAGGCCCCACCAGAGCGCGGCATGCTGGGCGGCCAGCGGCGCGGGAAGGCAGGGTTAGGTGTCACCTGTTCAGGCGCGTGATGGCTGCTGCGTCCGTGAGCATCACGATTGTGTCATTCATAATGCGGACCTTTATGATGGGTCCGTATTCGCGCACCCACTTGGCCATCTGCACAGGGTTGTGGGGGCAGTGGGCGGCTGTGTGGGCGCTGTATGGGGGCAGTGGGCGGCTTGTGCGGCGGCGTGGGGCTGTGGCTGCGGGGCAGGCAGTGCCAAAGTGCAGCGCGCCAGTCGAGGCGGCTGCTGGCGGTGTTCAGGGGCTTGGCGAGCAGGTTCGGCACCCCCAGCGCACCTTCAGGGGCGAGGTGTCTACGAGGAGGGTGCCGGCGTGGCCCAGCAGCAGGCTGGACTCTGGCGGCGCCGGGACGGGGATGCGGCGGTGGCGCAGCACGCCGGTGACGAAAGACAGCAGCGCCCGCGCGACCAGCAGCAGCAGGGCGCCGCCTGCCGCGAGTGCTGCCAGGGTGGCGGCCGAGGGGGGCGGCCCGCCGCCGAATACAGCAAGGGCCATGCTGGGCGGAGGCTGACGCTGCGGCGGGAAGGTCGTGCGCCGTTGCCTCGGTCAATGGGAAGCACCGTGGACTTTGTAGCCTCTGCAGTCAGTGCAGTCAGGCAGGACACAATCCCAAGGGGCGTGACAAACAGCAAAACGAGGCTGCGGGTTTCCTGGTGCAACTCAACGCGAGGAGGACACGCAGCGATGCAAGAGCGCCGGCGGGTCCCTCTTGTGGCCCCTCCGCGGCGCATCGCGCAAAGGCAACAGGTTGCAGACCGCGCGCTCTGCCGCGTTCAATTTGCACCCTTCGCGTGCTGTCTGTGGTGAAGGGATTGCCCGCTGCTTCCACGCACTCGGCCTGGATGGATCTCTGCTGCGAACCAGCTGCGCGCAGTTCGCGGGTGTTCACTATGACATAATAACCTGGTCAATAATATTGACGGGACCTGGAGGTGCAGGAGAGGCCCGGCCTTCGCAGCCTCTAAGCTGGGCTAAGATGACAGCTGCTGACGCCCTGGGGTCAAGAACACGCAAATCAACACAGCATCTTGGTGATTTACAAATGGCGCCTCAGCTACCCGGCATCTGCGTCGTCCACAGAGTCACTCGATGACTGATGATCAGGTGAGGGGCGGCCGTTGGGCTGGAGCAGAGGGAGCATGCCGATCCCAGTGCAAGCATGTGGTTTTGCAAGCAGGAACACGATGTTTGTAGCAAGAACAATTTTGCGCAACCACTGTGTGTTTGATGAGCTGTGACACAGGCATGTGCGACACAAGTGCCCCTCACAATGGTCAACTGTGGTCATCCGTATTGTTGCTACAATTGCACAAATCTGTTTGGTCGAATGCTGTCAGTACGTTGGGGTACAAAGGCTGCATCCCCGCTCCGCAACAGCATACTGTCTCAATAGTGGCAATACAATCGCAGTCAAGGCAAAGCCAAGCCAGGAACACTCGAAAGGGTCACAACTCGCGCACGCGGAACTCATGCTCCACATCCTCAAACACATGCGCGCGTGTACACACACGCACGCACGCGCGCGCACGCACGCACACACACAAACACACACACACACACACATACACACACACACAAACATGAACACACATACACACACGGGAGCTTACGCATGCGCGCCTCCCCCACACAAACATCGCGCGTGCGCACGCACATGCACACGCACAAGGGTCCCTGAAAACGTCTGCTGTCATCTGCGCTGAAGAACCTGCCAGAGCGCCCTAGCTCGCGGCGGCGCGACAAGCATTTGTAGCCAAAAAGCAATTGACGGATCTAAATATGCTGATATCTTAAGGGCCCCTGTCGCTTGCAAACAGGATGCAGCCATCAACTTGTTTAAAGCGACATGCACAACAGACACGGCCTCTTTTGGCTGCTCGCACCGCGCCGCATGCTGGTTTGTGCAACACTTCTGGGGGGCAGCTGAACTTATATTACAGACCGGCATTGGCGGGCCCGGACCGCTGCTTACAGCACTCAAAAGACACACTTTCAATTGGGCACTAGGCCTGGAGCCAAGGGCCTTGCCTAGGGTGTGAGTCAACCAAGGATCAACAGCAAAAGCAAGGGTATGTGCAACGCCTGCTAGGCGCGTCGCGCACCAATTTGGCATGGAACACGGGCCCCCTCCCCCTCCCC